GATACTCAGGAGCAGGGGAGTTGATAGTGAGGGGAGATTCCTCTAGGAAAGCTTGAATGTCCGGAGTGATCTCTGCTGCGTGTCCCAGGTCAAGTCACTCTCTCCAGATTTGCAGAGCCTCTTGTCCCCGAGTTTCTGTACAAACCAGCCTCTCTGCTAAAACTTGTCTACGTAAATTTGCCAAGAGTAGAGGTTGTTTGCTTTGATTGGAGCACCTTCTAAAGTGCGGAATATTGTCCTGTCCCTCAGTGCCACTTATGAGTGTTCCTCTCTTGAGAAAGAAATCATCTTGTATATGCAGGTGGTGTTACATTAATAAAGAGCCCAAATCTGTTTCTCTATGTGAAAACGTATGGAAAGCATGCCTAACCCGAGCTGCTGTAGAAGTGCAGTATATGAGGAGATTGATTCAAGTCTATGGTTGTTAAGCAAGTGTGGTGGTAATTGCTTTATGCCTCTGGTGAGGTTCATGGCAATGTGCCCCAGGCTTGGTCCCTACTCAGCTGTTCTCTCTCTGAAACCCTGCTCAGGCTGCAGCCTTCGGAAGCAACTTACAGCACGTTGCTGTTGTCTGCATTATAGTAGTCAAACATGAAGTAGTGTGGTCTTAAATAGAAGTTTATCCTGTATTATTGTATCTGCATTTATTTTGGAATGCAAAAAACGTGGCTGTATTTATAAGATGGCCTATACTTTCCACAGCATCCCACCTTATATTCGTCTCTCTTTTAACCAGTGCACATCTTTCTACATAGCACTTAGCATAAGCAACTTTCTCCACACGTGTGCTCTTTGTCTCCCTGAGCCCTGTTCTGTCTGTATTTTATCTGCTTGTCTCTGTATCTTGGTCCTACACAGTGCAAGTCCTGGATTCTACTGAATTTCTGGACGTCCTGGGGAGCAGACGCTAGAGAGTAGGAATAAATTGTTGCTGGTCAGCTGGCTGGTGCTTTCTTATCTCTTGGTGAAGCAGTGACATCTGACAGTTGGACCATGAATAAAACACCTTGCTCGAGTGTTAGATGAAGTGCGTTTGGGTTTTTTTCCAAATTGTTTTTCTGAAGGAAAACTTCTGTTGTGGTATTTGAGCTCTGAGGAGCTGCCAGCTCTGTGCCAGCATGGAAGGGCATGTTGGGCTGGCTACGTGGCTGCAGGCACTGCAGCAGGATCCCAACTTGCCCATTGCACTGCAGTGGAAAAGGGAGGCAGAGTGCAAGCCCTTCTCACCCACTGGTCCTTTTATGTTGATGAATGATGTGACCTTGGAAGAACTGCCTTTCAGGTCATCCTGGTTATTGGCACAAGCTAGAAGGTGCAAGTGGTTTTTGATCTGTTGAGTACTGTCATCTTGTGGGGACCTGGGCAGAATCCCAATAGGGGTGGCTACTTTGGGGGACGTGGCATTGGTTATTGGGTAACTTGTCACAACTTGCTCCTAGAGTCGTTTTATCAGCTCTTGATCCAGACATCATCTGTTACTTCTGGTTTATGGGAGTAATTGTTTTTGGTTGTGCTCTTTAGTATGGTATGTGTTGTTAGTACCTATAGAGGTTTGGAAGAAGAGATGTAAACTCACGTCCTGCTCTCTGTAGCACAGAAGATGTAGAGATGTCTTTAGGGTACCTTTAGCATTGTGTGTTGATTGTGAATTGGTAAAATCTTTGCATTAGCTCAGAGGCATCTTGTGTTGAAAGAAAAGTTAACATTAAGCCTGTCTCTTTTCAGAATGGTGAAATGATTTGCTGTAACAAGCTTTTCATATGTGCTGGAAGCATTAGCTCACACGGTGCATTTTTGTGTGTATATAAGAGATAATGTTTGATTGAAGTTTAAGTAATACAGCAATGGCTACAGCAGCCTGTACTCTGATTCCTGTCCTAATAGCTCTAACTACTGCAGAGTCTAAGCTGGAGCATGATCTATTAGTGTTTTATGTCCACAGATAGAGTAGCGCTCTCCTTAATGAGGAAGAGAGGAAATTACTTTTATTGATCTGGTTTATTCCTCAGCTTTTCATTACACTTGTGTAAAAGCTTTAGAAATCAATCAGATCAGACTTATGTGCTCAGCTTCCATGAATTTTAAGACTGTTGCTTGGATTTGTGATATCCTTGTCTGTGGTTTTCACTACATTTTTTTTTGAAGTCCTGATTCAGGACTTGAAGATGGATTGCTTCTAGGTTGTTCAGCTGCAAAAGGCTTTTGCTGAGCAATTACTTTTGGTCTGCCAGAGCTACAGTGAGGAGAAGAATCAAATGAGATCTGCCCCTGCTAGTATGCCTGCATTTCTTTTTGTGTTGGGAAACAGTAACTTGACATATTAAATAAAAAAGGCCACAGGAAAGTCTGGTGAGAGAGGAAAGAAAAAGGTATTTTTTAGGATCCATTTCAGTTCAGTAACATAAGAGAAAAAGCAACATAGCGCTCAAAAGGAAGAGAGTTTGATTCGAAAACAAATATAGCCAATTTTATAATAATATTTATTCTTTGTGTGGAAAAATAAAACCTGAACCAAGTCATGCCAATGATGTGATTTATCTGGTTCTTTTTTCTTCCTTATTGCATGTGGGCACCTTCCAGTAATGTTAGTGGAAATGATGATATATGAGGAATGATTTTATTAGAAGAGTAATCTCACTTCACTGCTGGGGTCACTGGGGTCTTGTGGGGACACAGCACTGTACTTGTGCACTACCAGCAGACTAGGGAATATCCTGGTTTTGAGTGCAGCAATGCTTTTTGGTCAGATGAAAGTATTTTATTGAGGAACAACATAGTTGAGAGAGAAGTGAGATGGCACTTTTATGTTTTGAGTGCTGTTAGTGGACTCTGTCACATCTTCTCATCTCTGCTGATCGTGGATGAACGCTCCTCCTTCCCTCACCTCTCATTGCTCTCAGTTTACCAGACTTAATTTATTTTTTTTGAACATAGAGAGTCACACCCTGTAAAAATGCAGGGAATATAAAAATGTGGTGTTGTGTTGAAAATACAGAAGTGCTGGGGAATTATTTTAATCTATTTGCTTTTATCTCCCCGGCCTCCTAATTGTGTAATTAAATAAATTTTAATAACAATTTTACATGGTTGGGACAACTTTTGGACTGATACAGATCTTGGATATACTTTTGCTGAATTAAAAAGAGCAATTTCATACTCTAAATATTTCTGAAGTTAAAACAAGGTAATTGAAATTCAGCTTTTGCACAGGTATGGAATTGAGAGTTTTTACTTTTCTATGGTGGACCCTTGAGATGTTTTCTTGTGCAGCTGCAGAGACCTGTGTAATGCATTTACCCTGCTAACAAAAGAGCTGCTTAACTGCTTCTGTGGATCCCTTAGAAATTGCTCGGTGATCCCCTGGGTCTGTGGATCATTGATTGAGAATCACCAGGATCCAGAGGAGTTCAGACTCACAGGCCATTAGGCAGCATCTGTGTGTAATGAAAAAGCATTAAATAAGGTATCTTTCTCAATGTAATTTCCATTGGTTTGACTTAGCTGCGTAGGTGCTGGACAAGCTTTCACATAGCATTTTAATGAGAATTTATAATAGTGCTATCTAGGGCATGCTGTGGATTCCTCTTTGGTTTTGGTTTTTGCTTTCAGTCGATCAGGAATCAGTTGTGAGGTGTCCACTGGGCTCCAGATGGAGCTGGGTCCGTCTGCCTTGCTTTGCCTGGGGGTTTCTGGCAATTCCATCTCGATTGTTATGATTAATCATAAATCTACCTTGCATTTGTTCTTCTGAGTTATTTTCTCAGAAAAGCCCATGCACTTTAGGTGGTATGACCACAAAACCATGTCTGATTTAACTGTATCTTCTGTATTAAACAGAGTGCTGTTTCCTGGGAACTGCTAAGATGTACTGAGCCAATGTATGGTCAATTAACCAGTCGTATTGCTTATATCTGATTAGGAAAGCAGGACTGGTTTTCTTGTTAAGTAGAGCTTAAAGCTATAGATTATTTAAATAACTCTTAGACATTACAGTAAGTATCAGCACTGTCTATTGTGACTTTAAAATAGTTTTTAAAAGAAAATTTAATATAAAGAAAAATAAAATTGGATTAATGTAATAAAAACTGAATTCCTGCCTTTATTGCTGTTTCTGCCTGAATTCCTGCCTCTTTTTTTTTGTTAACCTTAAATTGTGTAACTCTTTAGTTCATATCTATAATGTCTCAAGGCCCATACACATATTCTTTCCAGGGTACAGTATTCTGACTCTATCTTGATTTTGACATTGCTTCAAACACATGAATTGTATAATATCAGTAAAGATGAAGGAGGTATTTAACCAATATTAGAATTTCGAGTTTACTGAAATACTGTTAAGGATAGCTTATATGAGAGACTCTTCAGAGACTCAAAGGTTGCCATCTAAATACAGAAGCTAAACACAGCGTTTAGAGAGTAACTTTCAGGTGAGCTAATGTTAATTTGCTTACTATCTATTTTAGCTTAAACTTAATAGTTTTTTAAGGACTTGAAACTAAGCCTGAACACCAGCCATTCTTGCTAGAGTGTCCAACCAAGTGTTGTATCAGTTTATTGGTCCAGCCAAATCAGTACAATTATACAAAATTACTAATAAACTTTCTGTGGTACAAGCCTTCGGTTTTCAGTTCTGCTTGCAGTTCAAGGGAGACTTTTATCTGTTGTGCAAATTCATTAAAAATGGAATCCTTAGATCTGATTTTAAATGCTAATGTCCTTTACTCGTTCATTTCTTTAGTCTTCCATCACCACCACATGCACACGCTGTCTTCCTCTGACCCCACAACAGTGGGGGGAAAATAGCTCTAAATATGAGTAGGGTCTTTAGGCTTCAGGGTTTTGTATGACTTCCTGTTTTGTTTTGTTTTTTTCCAATGTCTTTAATTAGGATATTCCTCCTATCTGTCAAAGTAGTGTTTAATTGCTATAAATCTTAACGCTTCCTATTTTTAATGTTTCTGAACAGCTGTTACAACCATTTATTTATTTTTACTTTATAGGCAAATTTAGAAAACAAACCAGTAAATGGCCGCAGACCAGAACTCATGGAATGCAGTATATGTGGTCATGGTGAAAAATACAGGGTGAAAACAAACCAAGCAGTACCCATTGAAAATGTGCAGTCTAAGGAGAAAGAAAAAATGACGGGCTTAGAAGCAGAGAAGTGGGCACATAACGAGAAGCCATCTTTTGGTGTCCAGGTAAATGGAGATATCCATGGAACTGTGACAGGCAACGAACACTTGAAAAATGCTGAAGACAGTGAAAGAGCAGTTTCTCCCAGTCACTTAGCTGAGCCAAAAAAATCATTTGCACAGACCATCAAAAATGGCATAAAAACCCTACATTATTCACCACCAGAAGCAGTTGCTTCTCTGAAAAAAGTATCTGTAGAGGAAAGGACAGATTTGACAAGCAACTCCTATATACAATGGACAAAGGCTACCGATCTGAATCATATAGTAAACACTCTGACAACTGGCATTGGCTGCATTCACCCAGAGAAACAAGGAAATGTTTTAGTGAAAGAGGAAAACTGCACTTGCAGCATCTTTCGGGATTCTGATAAATCAGTTTTGCAGACGAGTTCCATTTCGGATCTGCAAGAAAGCTTGTGTTGTCCTCCACTGCCCGAAGAGGAAGTGCACATAGGGAAGGATGGCTTTAAAATACCGAACGCAGAGACACAGCATGAGGATTCTTCACTCCAGCCAACTTTCTTGTCCCTGATTAAAACCAGAAATTTAACTGTAGAGCAGGTTGTAGCTATTGAAGCTTTAACGCAGTTATCCGAAATCCCTTTAGAAACAACTTCACCAGCTAAAACTGAAAGTACTGAACGTACAGAAGAAACAAATTCCAACTTGCTCCATAGTTACAAAAGGGATATTTCATCCTCCTTCACATCTTCTGCATTAAAAGAAATCAAAGACACTTACTTACAGAATGAGCAACAGCTCTTGGCTCACTGCGCTCACTCGCAGAAGCAGCTCCCTAACAAGGCAGTGTTATACAATGGCCGAAGTTCAGTTTCTCCACTGCATGATAAACCTGCCAGTGTGGCTGGTGAGATGTATAAATTACAGTTCTCCTCAAAAGATAACCAAACTTTATCTGACTTAACAGTAAAATCATTTTCAGGATATGCTACCAAGAAAAATTACACTCATGAGGCAGTCACCCTTTCACGGTATTGCAGTGCTCCGCGTAACAGCCAGCAAACAAGTAACAGCTTGGAAACTCTTGGCCAGTTAGAGCAAAAGCCAACCTGTAATGATTTGAACTTGGAAGCCAGTTCTTTGATTAAGGAAGGAGGAATTCACAGCCAGGATGAGGAGGATGTAGCTACACAACTAACCCAACTTGCGGCGCTAATTGAATCAAACCAGACAAATCTAGAGCAGAAGAATGACATAAAGGCATCACTGCTTAATCTAATATCACATGAGAGGCAGCCAAAATACAACCAAGATCTCTTGCAAAAAAAAGAGTCTGTATTTTTTAGGCATAATTATAGTTCCTTACTGTTAAAGCAAAAACAAGCAGCAAATAAAAAAGGAAATGCTGTACCATGGAAACCGAGACACAAAAAGAAGCCTCAAGAAGCACGCTATCAACAAAATAATCAAAACCAGCTAGAGCTGTTGTCATGCCAGCATAATGAGTTACAGGACATTTGGATATCATCAAAACTGCATAAGCTTGGTCAAACCATGCCACAGGACTCCAGAATAGCGCTGTCTGAAAAAAAATCTCCAAGAACCAAAGTACAGAGAGCACTGAGTCAAAATACTTTAGCATCACAAGAAAAAACTAGATTATTTCTCCCTCAAACGCAGATAAAATTCCATCGATGTTTACCCGAGATACCACAAGAGAAAAAAAAAGACAGGCTGGTTGGCTGTGAAGTGGTGAATGAGCAAATCAAAACTGCGGGCTCCGGTGACCCACTAGGCATTGATCCACTGAAAAATGAAGTTGTTGCACGTAACCAATATAGTGACCTGTCCTCCTGTAATCCTCTGGCTGTTTCACAGTTGAAAGCAGCGTCTTTATTGAACAGACCAAGTGAAAACCTACAGATGTTTACAGAAAAACGTAATTCTCAGGTACAGCAAACCGCGAATGTCAGTCAGATGCATGCTTTGCCTCAAGCTTTTAATCAGTCTAACCTGAGAGCTCACGAAGTGCATAGTGAAGACAAAGCCTATATTCAGCAGGGTGCTGTCGAACAAGTAGATCTGAAGTCACAGGTGCTGCCTGTTCCCTGTGGTGGGGCCCAGGTACCAGGTGCTGTTGAAGCTCTCAGGAATACGGAGTGTGCGGGAGAAGCGACCGTTCTCACGTCAACCAGTTTGGGTACTGACCACCCACAGAGCACAGGCGACTCAGGGTGTTCTCCAGCAAAAAACACTCTCAGCAGTTTCCTTGAATCACCCATGAAGTTTCTTGATACCCCTACAAAAAATTTAATAGATACACCTACAAAAAAAGGACAATCTGAATTGCCAACTTGCGACTGTGTTGGTAAGTCTTTTTGCTAACTTTTGCCTGTACCTTTTAGATGGAAGTGTGTTCACGTTGCTCTCTTTAATGTGAGGAAGTGTACTTGACGCTTAGCTGTTGCACAAGGATCAGTGTTTCACCAGTAGGAAATGGGACGAAATTATTTTTTCCCTTTCCGTAACTTTTCCCTGGTGTTTTTTTGTGCCTGCAAAGCACAGCAGAACTGAGTATTTTTGGTAACTGGCAGGTTTAAGTTCTCTACTTAAATTTAATCCCGTGAGAAAAAGGAGTTTTTCCACTTGTTGTTTTGTCGTTGCTGACTTGTGCTCCCTATGTGTTTACCTGCAGTATATCAGACTGTGATTTCTGTGGCCTGGAACTAGTTTTTCCCTGAGATGGTCGAGGCAGAAGTCCCCAGTATATTGTCATTGTTCCCTAAATGCTGTTGGATAAGCAGCAGGGCATAGTTGTGGGTGGTCTTGTTACTGTCTCTGTTGGTCCTGGTGACTGATGTGTGTTTGCCCTGAAGAGTCCATGTCAAAGGCTGCTTGACGCCTCTCATCACGGAGAGGTGAGGTGGAGTTCGGTGAGGCCACATATGTAATAATTTGCACTGCAGCGTGAGATACCAGACCGAATTCAGCACTGAGGACTTTGCACATACAGCTTGATGGATGGTGTTAGACGTGCTGTGTTTTCAGACTATCAAAGCGCACAGATGGAGAAACAAGTCAGAGACTTAACAACGAATTGTACACAGCCAGATTGTTTCATCTCTGCTGTGATGTTCTCAATCAACAGAGTGCTAGTTAAGAGGCCTGGATTATGTTTTCTGTTCTTTAGGACATGACTTAACAGTTAATTATTCTTTTTGTCCTTAATTCTCCTTTGCCTGAGATGAATTAATAATGTTTTCTGACCAAAAAGTATAGCGGAAAGCTTACTTAGACAATACCTGCCAGCTGCTGTAATGCAAAGTGGTAAAGAATGCAAAATTATTATAATTAATATTACTTTATAACACAAAGAAAAAATACTAGCAGATTAATCGGAGGAAACAAGTGTCAAATAATTTCAGTTCCTCTGAGGAGAAAAGTCTGTCACATTCTGTACTCATTACATTTCAGGGACAAATTTTATGTTTTGTTTTATGTTTAACAGAAGATGTTTCTGTAAACCATTTCTAAGCTTACTTGTAATGGTGTAAATAGATTTTGTGCGTACCAACTTAGTTTTCTCAACCTACTTACAGAGCAAATTATAGAGAAAGATGAAGGCCCATATTACACACACCTTGGGACGGGACCAAGTGTTGCTGCTGTGAGAGAAATAATGGAGAACAGGTGAGAAAAAGTCAGCATGTAATGTTCCCAGTATTTTTGACTGTCTAAACAGGAAAGATGAAGAGCTATGAGAAATCAGGCGCTATGTTTAGCTCTGATTTTCTAAACTTTTTGCAGTGCTCGTTTGTAAAGCGTTCTCTTGTTCAAATGTGCATGAGTTGAGCACCAGCGTTCCTGTTCCAAACCTGTGTATTTTCTGAGCTCTTGTAACTTCGGTGTTGAATTTCAATTGCAATGTGCTCTTAGGTGCCATTGAAGTCAATAGGAATGACTGAGATCAGCAGCTGGGAGAATTAGGTTTTCTAGTGTCCTACTTGCGAAGAAGCTGTCATAAACTGGTCAGAAGTGCGTTAGGATTTACATACAGGTAGCATTTCCTTCCCCAAATAATGTGGCAGAAGCTTGTTACCAGAAGAGAGTGCAAATAGGACTTTAAGTTTAAAAGTATTTTTGGACACTATAAATATTTTGTTTTTCTTCTGTTCTCAGTACAGTAAAAATAAATTTGTTATTCTTACTTTGTTGAAAACGTTTCCTGTTTTAAAATGGTCTACGGCAGTTTGTTTTACTCATGAACTTTTCTTAATGCAGGTATGGAGCAAAAGGAAGCGCTGTAAGAATAGAGGTAGTGGTTTATACGGGAAAGGAAGGAAAAAGCTCTCAGGGGTGTCCAATTGCCAAGTGGGTAAGTTTTTATGTTACAGGAGTAAAATTGTTTTGCGTGGCTTTTAAATATCAAATGATGTGTAGGCCTTGAGTTTAAATGTAATGTGATCTTTAACGAAGATCTAATTCTTCAATAATTGATCTACAAGTCTGCCTGAATGAGGAAGCTCAGGAAAACCATTTAAAAAAAAATTAAAGACGTGGTACTGTGTGTTATGCTGTGGTTTGAATGTATGTGAAGGAGATGCATAATAGAGCTAGCAGAGATGACCAAATCAAGGATAAGAAGACCCTGACAATGTCTGAGAGTTCGAGTGTCTAGGGAAATATGTTATTGGGAAGTGTGAAAGAGAGAAAACACGGGATGGCTGCTTGGGAGAGTTGGAAAACTATCCAGTAATGTTTTAAAAAACCCTTCTTCAGTTGTGTGGACACCTGAAGAAAAGAGTGTGTGATGGATGAGGAGGTTCGATGTCATATGCCACGGAGCTCATTATTTTTGAGGAACTGAACTCAGTATTTGGACATGTAAATGTTGTGGTGATAGTTTTCACCAAAGTCTTGTCTCACATTGCTTCATAGGAGCCAGGAAATGAGGTAACAGACACAAGCTCCAGGAGAGAGCTTGGAAAGAATTGATTGTCCTTAATCTTTGCTGAAACCACCGAGGGAGGTAAAAAGTAGACTGGAAATGTTGTAAACTGAGTTTTGGAAAATAATAACAGAACTTGGTTGTTAAAAGAAATAAAAAATATCGCTGTATTTAGGAATTTCAGACTTGATTGAAAAAATGATGAAGATAACGGTGCAGTTGGCAGACCAGCATGTGTAACTACATGACAAAAATAAGGTTGTTACATAAATGGTATCGGATGCTAAACATTTGCTGCTCATGTTTGGAACAGTCAGAATGTGGTTTTCGTACTCAATAGATAAACTCTTTTTCAGAAGGGAATCCCATATGTGCATGTTGCTTCAGATAATATTTAAAATCAGCATCCAAGAAGAAAAGACGGTCAAACTAATTTCATAAACTGACCCAAAAGAAATGGAGTGGTTTTTCTCAGTGTGTCAACTCAATAAAACACTCAGAGTTTTAAGAGGACAGGAGTTAAAAATCTTACCTTAGAAACAGTTGTGTGCAGTTGAAAGGAAGAAAGCATTTAAAACTAACTCTTACCCTTGGTTTTTCTGTTGCCAGTGTCAACATACTGTCTTTTATATAAAACAGAAATGATAGATTTTATTGTATATCTCCATGGCTTTAGGTGTCCAACATGTGTGCACAATATGACAGAAAGCACTTGGATGTGTACAGAAAAGGCCGTTTTAAGCTGTGGGGACCTACTCTCCCGTTAGATTTTCACATTTCTGTGTGTAAACTGATTGAGAGAGTAAGCTTTAATGTTAATTTAACTTAAATTCCAGTCTTGTTTTATACAGCAGTGACTTTTTTGTGTGCAAGTTCAGACCTAAAGAGGATGAGTGCTTTTCCAGGTCTGCTAACTGTTATGTGTTATGTGTGAGAGGGAAGGAAATCACTGACATCTACTCTGTGGAACTGTTTCATCCTATATAAAATCCACATCTGGGGGTTGGTATTCTTAATGCGTTGCATGAACTTCTCATTGGCAATGCTAATTTTAATCCTTATAGCAGAGCATATTTGGAGTTTGGCTATGACCAAAGAAACATAATTGTGAAATTTGTTTGAAAGCATATGGAAAAAGTTTGCTGTGCTCTCTGATAATTGCAGTCACAAGGTTCTGTCAGCTGCACAGAGACTTCCACTTACTCATTTACAGTGTTCTTCGGGACAGACTCATTTCTGCTTTGCAGATGGACAAGGTATTGCCCTTAGGGCTCCTGAGAGACTTGCTGCTCAGAGCGCAACAGTGGAGCTCTGCTGCAGCGAATATGATAAGAAAAGATGGAGTGTATCTGTTGATCATCTTGAACTACTTTTCCCAATTAATTTTTCATATTTCTACCAAATAATTTTGTCTTACTGGTTCATTAGAAACATTTAAGATTAAAGGATGCTTTCTAAAATACCCGTGTCCATACATTCTTCTGTTAGTGACTGCATTTCATAATGCTGATCCCCCCTTAAGTTGTTTTTGCTTAAGTGGCTCCATTTCTCTTAATGTGCCTGGTCTGTTAAATATTGACCGAGACAGACTCCTTGCCTCAAAAGGAGCCGCTGTTCTCTTGCTTAGATTTCAGGTAGCCATAAGCTTGCAGACTTTTTTGAGAAGAAATAAACATTTTTCTCATCTGTTTTTTGTTTTTTTTTATATGTTACATTTTAGGGTGATACTCTGTCCCTCTGGATGTGGACTGAACATAAATATTATGAGAAAATACTACCTGTGATTTGAAACCTTGTGATAACTGTATGTGTAGGCATTAGATAGACATCACAGAATCACACAGAGAATCGCTCTGTTGGAAAAGCCCTCTGAGATCATCATGTCCAACCGCTCCTGTCTACCCCCTAAACCATATCCCTAAGTACCTCATCTACCCGCTCTTTAAACACATCCAGGGATGGTGACTCCACCACCTCCCTGGGCAGCCTGTGCCAGCTTCTGACGACCCTCTCAGTAAAGAACTTCCTCCTTATCTCTAACCTGAACCTCCCTTGGCACAGCTTGGTGCCGTTTCCCCTTGTTCTGTCCTCCATCACCTGGGAGAAGAGCCCAGCACCCACCTCTCTACAACCTCCCTTGAGGCAGTTGTAGGTGGTGCTGAGGTCTCCCCTCAGCCTTCTCTTCTCCAGGCTAAACAAGCCCAGTTCCCTCAGCTGCTCCTCATAAGGCTACACGAGCTAAACTGTAGTGAGGATAAGCTTGCCTTTGTTTTCAGTAGGTATGGTGGCAAAGAGACTATTTAAGCTCTGATTTTTTTCTTCATTAGAAATTGTATTGTCTCATTTTTATGTCAAAAATAGAGTTTTGCCAGGGATTTCAAATGTGATAACTGCGTGATTAGAAAACAACCTCCCGTTCTGTGACATACACTGGGGTAAATGTGCTCTTCTTTTTTTTTCTGTTTGGATTTCTTTCACTTTTTTGCTTTGTCCAAGTTCAACACACTTCTTCATAATAAGGTAAAGAAAAAAAAACCTTTGACGTACTGAATTTACTGGCGTGTCATTCTTAGTACGCTGTTCATATAACAAAAAGTTTCATGTTCCTGTGCACCCCATGTAACCAGCCAGTGATCAGTGACTTGCCTCTTGTCAGTCCTGTTGTTTTATCGTTGATTTAGCTGATAATGGATGTGCTTTGGGTTTTATTTTTCTGCTTGCAGTATGCCTGATGATAAATTACAATTAATTTGTGTGATATGTTTTATTAATTTGTTAGTTGTTGGAGTAACTCACTGCAGGCATCATTCTGCTGCACTGAAGTCAGAGGAACGTGTCAATGATCTTGGAGGAGGTCAGCTTCAGGTCTTAATGTTTTCTGGATCCAACCCACTTCTCATGGGTCCCTTCTCCAGGTCTCACTAGATGTTGCCTTGAATCAGCTAAGCTACCATTGCTATCGGTTGTCTTTATTCAGAGTTGCAATGTGATTTTTAAAGCTCCAGCTCTGGGAAAAAAAGAAAACAAACCAAGAAATAAGAAGCAATAGAAACGGCCAGGTCAGGACAGAGGTCCTCCTTGTCTCCAGCGCTGACTGATAGCAGAAAGGTGTGGGAGCAGTTGCCTCTCAGAAGATTGCTTGGTTCTCAGTAGTTCACAGCTCTCTAGTTCCCTGAGCTGGAGGCAGTGTCTTTGTGTTCAGTTGCCTTTCATAAATGTTGTCATCTTTATTTCTCCTTTTCCTTCCTGTTCTCTTATGCTAGGACATAATGCTGGCATGATGTTTTCAGCCCTGTGCTCTAGTCCAAATAATTCCTAGCAGTTGTTTTTGCTTTTTCTCTGTTGCAGAGCAGTGATTTGGCATTTTCCTAGCGCTTTCTGTCATTACACCAGATTCTCATTCCTGCATAGTAATGGCCACCTCGGAGTCCATCTCTATCTAAAAATAGAGTTGTTTTCACCATGTGCATTAAATACACGTATCTACAGGGAATTTATCTGCCATTTTACTGCTCACTCAGCAGTATGAACTCTTCCTTCATTTGTTTGCAGATTGTGCTTGTCTTTACTACTCTGAATAGCTTGGTGTTGTCAACAAGTGTTGTCATCCTTTTATTTAACATTAACAAACATGCTGAAGAGCACAAGCTTGAACAGAGTTCTACAGAGCTCCCATGGGAGACATACCAGCCTTTGTTACGTGTCTTCACCCATTACTCATGTGTGGTCTTTTGTCCCAACACACAGTAGGGTTTTATAAGAGCTTTTACTAAGGGACCTTACTGAATGGCTTTTGGAAATCTAGCAAGGCCTGCAGTATGCCCCAGCTGTGGCTTCACTTCAGGAAAGTTGGTTTGATTTCTCCTGTACATTGCGCTTTTCTGTGTGATCACTGCTTTGCCCCACTCAGATACCAGGCTAATGTGATCCCTGAATCAATGCATTTCTTCCAGGGACTTTTTACAAAGTGATATCCTCTCGGAAATCTTCAGGCTCTCTGGTACTGACATATTATAAACCAAGACAGTGAACATCACATTTAATACTTCAGTTGTTTCATTCTTGGGTTTCTTTGGTGAATATCATCTGAATTCAGCAAATTGTTGCTGTTTGGTTGGGGGAGATGCTTGTTTGGTTCTGCATTTTTGTTGCTGTTGCCCTGTAACCACTTCTGTCAGAGCTTTGACTTCACAAGAAGTCCTTGGCTGCCCCCCATGAAGGTTTCTGACACAGGAATCTTCACAAACTTCTTGTTTATGAACACAGCAGAAGTGGGGTTTGCATCTTGAGCTTTACTTTCTCTGAGCATTTTACTTGTTTTGGTTTTTTTTTTAAGCACTGGGTGAGCTGTTGACCCTTCAGATTATTTTAACCTGCTGGTGGCCCTAATTTGTTTGAAAATGCAGTATTAGGGGCTTCTATGCCTTTTGCAAGTAGTTTCTCAAACTCTCTCTTCTATACTGTCTGCCTTTCTTGGGTTTTGTACTTATCATTTGACAGGTATTTATTATCTTTTCTGTACTGTTGGCTATATATTAATAGGATGTATAAATAATTAAAAATAGGAGTTGATTAAAAATGGATAAAAAACTCAATTATGAATACTTAAAAATAGCTACATTTGAAATTACAGTCCTGTGCAGGCCTGAATCTAATATTAGCCAGTGGCTTTAATAATTGTTTTAAAAGGCCTGAATCTAATATTAGCCAGTGGCTTTAATAATTGTTTTAAAAGTAAGGCTTAGGCAACCTGCTGTTACAACCAAGATTTTATAGATCATTGAACTGATAGGGGTTTGTAGCTCAATTCCAGAAACTGCAGTTTGTTGAGTGCTGGATGAGCCTTAAAAGCAACAGATTGTTCTGCGGATGCAGAGCTGATTTTTTATTTTCAGTTTGCTAGTTTAGCTTGAGTGGAGAAAGCGATGGAAATTGGGACTTGCAAAAAGCAAGAAAACTTAAAAGTTAGTCCAGCTTCTAGACCCTCTGCTTATAAGCTGTTGTGCTGTTTGGAACTTGACAGAGTGGGGAATTCTTGAAATATATATTGTAAAAGGGCTTTAAAGTAAATTTTCCTGGACTGTTTGTCCCCTGGCCACAGGTTTAGGTAGGATATGCATCTCCATTCTGCTTTCAACAGCTT